CGAGAACGAAAGCGGGAACGAGGGCGGGAGCGAGGGCGGGAACGAAGGGGGGAGCGAGGGAAGGAATGAGGGCGGGGGCCGCCTCTGGGCGCCTCTGGGATTCCCCCGAGCGCCTCGCGGGAATTCCCCGGGCGCTTCGGGGGAACCTCCGGGGAACCTCCGGGGAACCTCCAGGGAACCTCCGGGGAACCTCCACGGGACCTCCGGGGACCCTCCTGGGAACCTCCGGGGAACCTCCGGGGAACCCCCGGGGAACCTCCGGGGAAACTCCGGGAGGTCTGTTCGAGGTCTGTTTGAGGTATGTCTAATGTCTGTTTGAGGTCTGTTTGAGGTCTGTTTGAGGATGTCTACTGTCTGTTTGAGTGTCTGGGTGTGGGCCAAAAACTTTTTTTTGTTTTTGTGTTTTTTCTTATTTGCTTTTTTTTTCTTTTTTTTTTTTTATTTTTTTTGTTGTTTTTTGATTAAGGCTGTTGAGGTCTGTTGAGGTTCTGGGCCGAATCTCTGTGGTTTTGAAGTCTGGCCGGAAATCTGTTTCAAGTCTGATTTCCCCGGCGCCGCTCCTTGGGTTGCCAGGGCCTCGAACGAGGCGAAACGATGGCGGGAGGAAACGAGGGAGGAAACGGGGCGAGAACCGCACGCTGGTGAAGAGGGCGAGAACGAGGGGCCGGGGAACGAAGGAGCGAACGAGGCGGGGAACGAGGGCGGGAACGAGGGCGGGAGCGAGGGCGGGAACGAAGGGGGGAGCGAGGGCAGGAATGCGCCTCTGGGCGCCTCCGGGTTTCCCAGGGGGCCTCCGGGCGGCCTCGGGGCGAGGGCGAAAACGATGGCGAGAACGAGGGCGGAAACGAGGGCGAGAACGAGGGCGGGAACGAGGGCGAGAACAAGGGCGGGAACGAAGGCGGGAACGAAGGCGGGAACCAGGGCGAGAACGGGGGCGAGAACGAGGGCGAGAACGACGGCGAGAACGAGGGCGGGAACGAGGGCGGGAACGAGGGCAAGAACGACGGCGGGAACGAAGGCGGGAACGAGGACGAGAACGAGGGCGGGAGCGACGACGGGAATGAGGGCGGGAACGACGGCGTGAGCGAAGGCGAGAACGAGGGCGGAAACGAAGGATGGAACGAGGGCGGGAACGAGGGCGGGAACGAGGGCGGGAACGACGGCGAGAGCGAGGGCGGGATCGAAGGCGGGAGCGAGGGCCAGAGCGATAAGGGAAGGTGGAAGGATCAGGGAAGGGATAAGGGGAGGAGAGAGAGGAGGAAAGGGAAGTGGAGGGACGGTGGAGGATAAGGGAGGGCCGGGAAGAGGGGGAGGAGGGAAGGTGGAGGATCAGGGAAGGGATAAGGGGCGGAGGAAGGAGACTAACTGAGGACGAGAGGGGGGGGGGAAGAGGGGCGCGAACGGGGGAGGATGGAAAGGGAAGGAGGGGGAAGCGGAGGAAGGAGGGAGGGGATGGACGAGGTAGGCAAGAGAGCGAAAACGAACCAGGGCCCGATAAAACGAGACCACGACACAGGGGTCGAGAAAACGAGACCACGACACAGGGGCCTAGAACGCCAGAAAACGAGAAAACAAAACAAAGTCCGAGCAAACGAGACCACGACCCACGGGCACAGAAAACGCGAAAACGAACCAGTGCCCGAGAAAACGAAGCCACGACCCAGGGGCCGAGAAAACGAGACAACGAGAAATACGAGCCAGGGCCCGAGAAAGCGAGAACACGACCCAAGGGCCGAGAAAACGAGAAAAACCAGAAAACGAACCAGGGCCCGAGAAAACAAAGCAAAAACCTAGAAGCCAAGAAAACGAGAAAACGAGGCAATGAACCAGGGTCCGAGAAAACACGATAACGACCCAGGGGCCGAGAACACGAGAAAACGATAGAACAAAGCAAGGTCCCTACGAGCAAACGAGACCACGATCCAGGCCGAGAAAACGCGAATATTGGTCCTAGAAAACGAGACCACGACTTTACGGGCCGAGAAAACGAGAAAACGATAAAGTGAATCAGGGCCCGAGAAAACGAGACTACGAACCAGGGGCCGAGAAAACGAGGCAACGAGAAAACAAACCAGCGTCCGAGAAAATGAAGCCACGACCCAGGTGCCGAGAAAACAAGAAAACGAGAAAACGAACCAGTGTCAGAGAAAACTGGACCACGACCAAGGCGCCGAGAAAACAAGAAACGAGAACACAAACCGGGGCCAGAGAAAACGAAACCACGTCTCAGGGGCAGAGAAAACAAGAACGCGAACCAGGGTCAGAAAAAACGAAGCCACGACCCAGGAGCAGAGAAAACGAGAAAACAAGAAAACGAACCATGGCCCGAGACAACCAAACCACGACCCAGGTGCCGAGAAAACGATATAAAGTGAACCCGAACAGAGAAAACGAGACCACGACCCAGGGGCCGAGTAAACAAGAAAACGAGGAGACGAAACTGGGTCCGAGAAAACGAAACCACGACCAAGGGGCAGAGAGAACGCGAAAACGATAAAACAAACCAGGGCCCGAGAAAACGAGACCACGACCCAGGTGCCGAGAAAACAAGAACACGAGAAAACGAACCGGAACAGAGAAAACGAGACCACGACCCAGGTGCCGAGGAAACAAGAACACGAGAAAACGAACCAGGGTCCGAGAAAACAAAACCACGACCCTGGGGACGATAAAACAAGAAACCAAGAAAACGAATCAGAGTCAGAAAAAACGAGACGACGACCCAGGGGCCGGGAAAACCAGAAAACAGAAGGTCGAACCAGGGGCCGAGAAAACGAAACAAAAACCCAGGGGCCGAGAAAACGAGAAAACGAACCGGGGCTCGAGAATCCGAGACCACGACCCAGGGGCCGAGAGAACGAGAAAACGAGAAAACGAACCGGGGCCCGAGAAAACGAGACCACGACCCAGGCGCCGAGAAAACGAGAAAACGAACCAGGGTCAGAGAAAATAAAACTACAATCCAGGGGCCGAGAAACGGAGAACACGAGAAACCGAACCAGGGTCCGAGAATCCGGGACCACGATCCAGGGGCCGAGAAAACAAAAAACGAACCAGGGTCAGAGAAAACGAAACCACGACCAAGGGGCCGAGAACACGAGAAAACGTGAAAACTAACAAGGGTCCGAGGAAAATTGGCACCACGACCCAGGGGCCGAGAAAACAAGAAAACGAGATCACGACCCAGGCGCCGAGAAAACAACGCACAAAAAAACAAAATCCGAGAAAACGAAACAGATAACTACGAACCAGGGGTCGAGAAAACGAGACCACGACACAGGGGCCTAGAACACCAGAAGACGAGAAAACAAAACAAAGTCCGAGCAAACGAGACCACGACCCAAGGGCACAGAAAACGCGAAAACGAACCAGGGTCCGAGAAAACACGACCACGACCCAGGGGCCGAGAAAACGAGAAAACGAGAAAATGAATCAGGGCCCGAGAAAACGAGACTACGAACAGGGGGCCGAGAAAACAAGAAAACGAAAAAACGAACCGGAACAGAGAAAACGAGACCACGACCCAAAGGCCTAGAAAACAAAAAAAAAAAAAAAAAAAAAAAAACTAGAAAACGAACCAAGCCCCGAGAAAACGAGACCACGACCCAGGAGCCGAGGAAGTGAGAAAACGCGAAAACGACCGACGACACAGAGGCCGAGATCACCAAAAAACGCTTGGTTCGAGAAAACGAGACCACGACCCAAAAGCCGAGAAAACGAAGAAACGAGAAAACGAAGCAGTGTCAGAGAAAACGAGACCACCACCCGGGGGCCGAGACAACGAGAAAACGAGAATACCAACCAGCGTCCGAGAAAAGAAAACCACAACCTAGGGGCCGAGAAAACAATAAAACGAAGCCAGGGTCCGAGAAAATTGGACCACCCAGGCGCCGAGAAATCAAGAAAACAAGAACGCGAACCAGGGTCATAGAAAACGAGACCGCGACCAAGGAGCCGAAAACACGAGAAAACAAGAAAACGAATCAGGGGCCGAGAAAACAAGAAAGCAAGAAAACGAACCAGGGGTCGACGTTATTCTCCAATTCGTTCTCTAGCGCTGCGGTGCGCACCTGCCGTCAAGGATTCCGCCATTTTGCCAGAGCCCCGGAAGGGAGGGGGGGAGGAGGTAGCTTCGGAAGCCCCCCCCCTTTCCACAGGAGGGGGGGGTGTAGTTTAAAGCCGCCCCCCCCTGCGTGTGTCCAGACCAAAAAAGGAAGGAGGGGTGGGGGTAGCTTCCGAAGCCCCCCCCCTTTGAAAGGGAAACCCCAGCTCACCTTCTGCTCCCTAAGAGGGAGGGCGGGGGGGGATAGCTTCGAAGCCCCCCCCTCTTTAGCCAGGGCCCCCCTAGCTTAGAAACCCTTCAGAAGGGAGGGGGGGTAGCTTCGGAAGCTCCCCCCCCCTTTTCGAAGGAAGGGGGGGTAGCTTGAAGCTGGGTCCCCCTTTCGAGTATTGAGTTCCGTACGGGCGCACTCTTACGAAACTCTGATTTGGCTCTGGCCTGAAACTCTGGTTCATCTCTCTGGTTTAGCTGAAGCTCTGAATTAGCTCTGGTCTGGAACTCTGATTTAACTCTGATTTAGCTCTGGTCGGGGACAGAGCCGAATCAGAGTTAAATCAGAGTTCAGACCAGGGTTAAATCAGAGTTTCGAGAAAATTAGAGATGAAACAGAGTTCTGGGCCAGAGTTGAATCAGAGCTGGATCAGAGTATTCTTAGAGTTTTTTGCGCTTAATGTTTGAATCTAGTTTGCCTCCAAAACACGCGCTCTAACCAACATGACAGCACCTGGAGGCTCAGCTGCCCCGATACGCCCGCCTTGAAACGCAACACGTGCCGTGCTCAAAACGTCCGTGCCACTACGTGGCGTGCTGGCTCAGCGCACTGGCCCCGGGTTTGACGAACGCGTCGCGCCAGACCTACGCGTTCCGTCTATGTGTGGTGCTCCGTGTCCACACGCTGCGTGTTGCGCGTTGCGTATCGGGGGGCAGCTGAGACCCGGAGGTGCCGCTGGGGCCCGGCGAGACGGCCCTCACGCTGCGCGCCAAGCACATGGAGGCCACGGCCGCTGCGTGCACTGCCGCCGGGGGTCGAGAGTCGGAGATCGGGGTCTCACCCCTCACACGACGACGACGACGACGCCGCCGCCGCCGCCGCCGCCGCCGACGACGACGACGACGACGACGACGACGACGACGACGCCGACGACGAGGCCGCGGCCGCGGCCGCTGCGGGCACTGCCGCCCTGCCGCTGCTGCCGCTGCTGCTGCTGCTGCTGCTGCTGCTGCTGCTGCTGCTGCCTCCCAGGGGTCGGGGCCGAAGGCCGCAGGTCGGCAGCAGCTGGGATCCGCTCCCGACAAGAGCTCTCGCCTCCTCCTCCTCCCGCCTCCTCCTCCTCCCTCCTCCTCCTCCTCCTCCTCCTCCTCCTCCTCCTCCTCCTCCCTCCTTCCTCCTCCTCCCTTCCTCCGCCCGTCCTCATCCTCATCCTCCGCCCCCCCTCCTCCTCTTCCTCCCTCCTCCTCCTCCCTCCTCCTCCTCCTCCTCCCTCCTCCTCCTCCCTCCTCACTGCTCCCTCCTGCCTCCTAGAGGGACCGAGTGGTTAGACGCTCATTCAGGGGGACTTGGACTCTAGTTCGACCCCAGTTCGATTCAAGAGCGACTCAAGTTCGACTCAGGTTCGATTCAAGGTCCGTGCCTGTGTGTGTGTGTGTCTGTGTGTGTCTGTGTCTATGTGTTTGCGGGTGTTCTGTGTGTGTGTGTGTCAATGTGTGTGCGTTTGTGTGTGCTTGTGTTTGTGCGTGTGCGTGCGCGTGTGTGTGTGTATGTCTACGTTGTGTGTGTTGTGTGTTGTGTGTTGTGTGTGTGCTGTGTGTGTTGTGTGTGTCTGTGTGTCTGTGTGTCTGTGTGTGTTTGTGTGTGAGTGTGTGTGTGTGCCGGGGGGGGGGGGGCGTGGGGGCGCGGAGGCGTGGGGGCGTGGGCGTGTAGGTGCGTGGGTGCGTGGGTGCGTGGGTGTGAAGGTGTGTAGATATGTGGGTGGTGCGTGTGGTGCGTGTGGTGCGCGTGGTGCGTGTGGTGCGTGTGTTGCGTGTGGTGCGTGTGGTGCGTGTGTGTGTGTGCGTGTGTGCGTGTGTGCGTGTGTGCGTGGGTGCGTGTGTGACGTGCGTGCGTGGGTGAGTGGGTGTGTGGGTGCGTGGGTGCGTGGGTGCGTGTGTGCGTGTGTGTGTGTGTGTGTGTGTGCGTGTTCGATGTGCGTGTGTACGTGGTGTGTGCGTGTGTATGTGTGTGTGCGCGTGTGCGTGTGCGTGTGTGAGCGTGGGTGTGCGTGTGTGTGTGTGTGTGCGTGGGTGCGCATGGGAATACATGGAGGTGCGTGGGTGCACGTGGGTGTGCGTGAGTGTGTGTGGGTG